TTGTGTGCAACTACAAGAGTGCATTTTTGAAAAACATATGTATATATATATATATATATATATGTCTATACAATACATACTCGTGAAATAACCAAAAAAGAAAGGATTAAGCCACTTACAGTTTCAAAGTGAAAAGGCGAAGATCAACGCAATGAGGATGCTGGCTATTACAGATGCTATAGTCGTGAATATGGAGACCCAGAGGGCAAGTGAGAGAAGATGAACAGTGGAGTGTTTGGTTCAAAAAGAAAGGTTTTTGTATAAAGCACAAAAATGGGCGGGCCTGTTCAAAATTTTCGAAGTACGAAGACGGCTGTGTCAGTGGTACTTGACCAATGGGAGCAAGCCACGTGTCCAAGGGAATAGATAACGATTCAGACGTACTTGAAAAGCGGAACGACGTGCAGAGTAATTGACAAGACGTTTTTGGACCAGGCAAATCAGTAGTCCGGTAGAGAATGAGCTCGGTTGTATTACTTGCTTTAGTTCGGTCAGCTTGGACGTTTTAGCTTAGCTGGAGAAGAATAATCTCAAATCATGCGCTGCAGATGGAATTAAAGGGCAATTGAGAGGGTAATTTGTGTGAAACTTGGGCCGAGCTAGGACCGGGTAGAAGTGGGCCGAGCTGTAGGCCGAGGTGAATGGGCTTTGCAACTGGACCCTGTTAGCTCGGTTAAGAATGGCTGCGATTAGCTCGGTTGAAGTATTTTGAACCAAGGCATGGATGAATGAGGACCGAGCTAGGCATTGCTCATGAATGCACCGAACTGGGTGTCTCGGTTGTGCTGTCATTCTGCCATGGTAAAACCATCCCACTTGGTTAAGCAGTGGGGAGGGTGCAAAAAGATGAGCATTACCTTTCTAATTCTTAGGAGGACTCTGCTAAAAGAGAGTTGAAGTCTTACTAGGATTGTGCCATGTGAACTCTATAAAAGCTCGTAACAGGACCTATGTATAGGTATCACAATTTTGACTCTCAAATATACAGAGCTTTTGTCTATTGTCCATTTGCTGACTTAGGCATCAGAGAGGTATCCGGCACACACCCGCCGACTAGCTCATGTTTATGTTTTTAGGGAGTAAAGCGACGACGTTTGGAGAAATACAAACTTAATCAAGAGAATTATACGAGAAAATTATTTCGTGCTCGTACGCTTGTTAAAACCAAAAACATACCGTAGAGATGTTGATGATTGAAAAGAGAATAAAAAATCCATTCCACGTAACATTGCCTCCCCTCAAAACATGAATGGTGCTGCTGGGAACGATGACATGATTATCGGAAAGCAACTTCTCCTGAAAATAAATAAATTATATAAAGGGGAATTAAAATTCGGCGGTAACTTTTAAAAAAATTATAAAATAATGAAAAAATATAACATTTTAATTATTAAAATTTATAAACTTTATTATATTGATTTGTAATTTTTTTTTTACACATAATTGTATAGTTATTTCCCCTTATATAAAACACCACCAGGAAAGAACAAAAGATAATAAAAATAAAATAAAATCAAAAAACACCCAATTAAGACTGTCAACTCATATATTTTAATGAATAGATTACACTTTTCGCGCTAATAGTTGACTCAAATTTTACTTTTTTATTATTTTAATTTGAACAATTTAATTTTTACACTTTATAAAAGTTTCTTGCAAAATTGTACCCAAAAAAAAAATATATATTTTAAAATTAACAAAAATATGTACTGAATTTAATAATAAATATCTCAAAATGTACATATTTTTTTGTTATTTTCTTGTTCCTTCGGAGCACTTTAACAAGATCATTTCTCCATCATATTTTCTCTATTATATTTTTAAAACCTTTGTGTCTATAATATTTGAAAAATTATATATATATATATATGGTATATAATACCGTTTAAATATCTTAGATTAAAGGCTGGTTTGAAAGTTGACTATTTAGTTGTTTAGCTATTTTAATTTGATTAAAAAAATTGTTTTCGAAAAGTTGATTGGCTTTTTTTAGTTAATTTGATGGTTGTAGGAGAAAAATTAAAATAAATATAAATTATATGTGGTATTTTATCTTATAAATTATTTTAGTCTAATTTATTATTTAATAAGTTATTTCAGCTCAACTCTCTTTCTAAACCAGACTAAAAATCATTTTATCTAATTATGTAGTTAACAAACAAACACTTCTAGTAGTTCGTTCCTTGAGTATCGGAATGTAGGAAAAAATAAAAATGATTATATGAGGACGGACCGAGTAAACGGGAGTGAAAAACATACCCGGAATTGTCGCTACTGTAATTAAGGACAGAAACTCCGGCAGCAGTGGTGGCGGACGACGACGACGACGACACCTTTCTCTTCAGCATTCTCTCAGATCCAGCGTTCATACTCCTCCACCTTTCTCTCTCTGACTCCGGCACCACATTGTCCTCCGAAAGCGCTCCCAGCGAGGGCCGCCAATCGGCTGACGTCCCCGAGCTGCCTCGCTTCCGGTTCTGATAACGGCCCCGGGCAGGCCGTTTCCGTGACGAGGGAAGCACGAGGAACTGCGTCTCCTCCGCTCGCAGTGGGTCCGGCCGACTGGGGGCAGACCCACAGCAGGTCACGAATTCCATGAGGGACTTCATTTTGGGGGGAGAAAGAGAGAGAGAGAGAGGTGCTATTAACTAGTTTGGATTTTATAAGGTATATATTAGTTTTCATATTTTATTGACATTTAGGTAGAAACCACAAAATAAAAATTATTAACTAAAAAATAAAAGTTAATTCTAATTTTATCCTTTCAACTTTCATTATTTTTTCCTTATTTCATCTATTTGAATCTCCCTTCCAATCAATATCAGTCTGAATAATCAAAATTATATAATTAAATACTCATAATTTTACTTGTCGAAAATATGATTCGGGAATATGACCGTCTTATGGAGACGGCGACACACGTAGAAATTTCCATACAAGCCGAGGAGGAGAGGCTTTGGAATTCTAGATCTAGGGGCCAAGAGTCTCAAGGAGACTATAGACAGAACAAGAAGAGCAGGAACACCTATCCACCCCAGTCCTAACCACAGCAGTCTAGATCCACTTTTCCTTTGCCTAGTGCGGGTCCCAAAAAAAAGTGCATCGAGTAGCTTTTCGTGTTTCGAGTGTGGCCAACTGGGTCACAAATCCTTCTCATGCCCACAGAAGGGATGAGGGCAGTTAATGTTACCACCACCTAACCGATCTCAAAATCAATCTCAGTCTCAGAATAAAGGTCAAGGGTTTAATTATTATCAGTGTGGTCAGCCGGGGCATATGAAGAGAACTTGCCCACAGTTGGGAGGCGCATCTGGCGCATATAGTAATATTTAGATAGGTAAAATGTCTATTACCGTTGGAGATGCTCTTAATATTATTATCATCACCATAGAGAAAATGAAATAGAAGATTATTCAATTTTCTTAACTTTAGAAGATCTCTCACTACAAGAATTTACATATTTGCCGACCACTTTTGCCGACCAAAAAAATTTTAGTCGCAAAAAAATGACATTTGCCGACCAAAATATTAATTAGTCGCGAATGATCATTATTTTTAGCGACCAAAATGAGTTGGTCGCAGAATATCACATTTTGGCGACCAAAAATGAGTTAGTCGCAGAAATTGGTATGCTTTTGGCGACCAACTTCAAATTTGGTTGCGGAAAGTTACATTTTGGCGGCCAAAAAAAATTAGTCGCCAAATTAGTATTTTTAGCGACTAATATTTTAGTCGCCGTTGATTGAGATTTGGCGACTAAAAAAGTTTGTCGGCGAAGGTCCCTTTTCTGCGACTAATCTGATCATTTGGTCGCGAAAAGTGTGGGAGGGAAATTTGAAACATGGAGGGGGGAAATGAAAATTTTTTGCGACAAAAAAATATTTGGTCGTCATTTATAAAACGACATCGTTTTGTACCCACTCTCCGAATCAAAATTTGGTCGCCATTTATAAAATTTGGTCGCCATTTCTAATCCCGTCTCTCCTTTCTGTCTCCAGCTCGCTCTCTGTGTCTCTGTATATGTTGATCCGCCCTCTCCCTCTCTCTGTATTCTCTCTCTTAATCGGTGGCCACTCTCTCTAGCTCACCGAAGTCCCTCACCACCGTGAAAGCAAAACAAGCTGAGAGAGAGCTCATAGTGCCGAATAGAGAGAGCGCCAATTTAGTTAGAAACAGAAGCAGAAGAAGAGGATGACCAATCCACTGTCGTCAGAGACTCTCCGGCCGATCGAAACCTTAGAAATCGAGAACGACCTCTCTCTAGTCCCCCGCATGAAGCTCCTCCTCACTATCCACTGTGCAGACCACTCCGTCAAGCCCCTCGACGAGTGGTAACTCAAGCGCTCCCTCTCTCATCTCTCTTTGAAATAGGTGCGAAACAAGCAAACAACGAACCGCTCGCTCGCTCGCTCTCTCTCTCGTCTTTGCGTTCGATTCGAACCCTAGGCACATTGAATCAATCATTCGGAGTCTCTCTCGGTATTGATCAAGACCATTGTTGGGGTTGTGGAGGCTTGTCATTCTCTTGGGGTAATGCACAGAGATCTCAAGCCTGAGAATTTCTTGTTCGATACTCCTGACGAGGGCACCAAGCTCAAGGCCACTGATTTTGGGCTCTCGATTTTCTATAAACTTGGTTGGTTCTTGGGTTCTTCTCACTTTCTTGCTCTGTTTCATTTGGTTAGACACTGTTGATTTTGATTTGTAAATTTGCAATTTCTTGTGTTCTTGTTTGATTTATAACCTTATTGGCAATGGGTGGTCTTGGTTCCTTTCCTTTTCTTACATTTGGTTAATTTTTCATTGTTTACCATGTATTGAGTTTCTATAATTTGACAATTTATTGGGTTATTGACTGTCTGGTTAAATTTTCCATTAAGAGTAGGCTTGAAAAGAGTAGGCTCCGAACTAATGGAGTCTGAGATCAAGGCCCTTATGAATGCAGTAAATAGATTTATCGTGTAGAAGTTTATAGTTTTATTTTTTTTCATTTTCAATTGATTGTCTAGTTAAATTTTCCATTAAATGAGGAACTTTGACAGGCAGATATTGACAACAGTGGAACAATTGACTATGGTGAATTTATTGCTGCTACGTTGCACATAAATAAGATGGATAGAGAAGAGAATTTGATCGCAGCATTCTCTTTCTTTGACAAGGATGGTAGTGGTTATATAACGATTGATGAGCTTCAACAGGCTTGTAGAGACTTTGGTCTAGGTGATGTTCAATTAGATGATACGGTCACAGAAATTGATCAAGATAATGTGAGTTTCTCTGGTTTTCATAATTCATTTGAGCATATAAAACCTTTGTTTGTTCTTTTGAGCATATAAAACCTTTGTTTCCCCTTAAGTTTTTACATTCAAGTAAAAAAGTTACACTTTTCAAGAAAAATATGATTGGTTTTAACTTTAGTCTGAGAATAAAGTTTATCTGTGTACTATTTATTAATTTTGAATAAAAAATCGAACTATTTATTAATTTTGTATAAAAAATCGTTAAAGTGCTATAGAGCCTCAATTTTTAAAACTGTTAATTACCTCGTTAGAGTAAGTTTTAGGGTGATCTTGTCATGACCCAGATGTAAATTTTTGGAAATTTGTGTTTCAGAGTTAATTTTGTGGTTATCCATATGATACCAATTCTTGTTGTCTATGCTAGTTAGATTGTTTTGATGTTATTTGGATGTTTCTGTTTTTAGTATTATTACCTTTGTAATTGAGTAACCTTGTGATTATTTTGATTTTTGTTTATTTAACTTATGATCTGGTATGTTGTTGTTGGTAATTTTGAGTAGATTGGGGGTTGGCAATATATTGTTTTTCCTGGACGGTATATTTACACTCAGAGGTTCAAAGATGCAAATGTCAATGATAAGGTAAAGTAAAGAATTACCATGATTTTCTGTCTGTCTTTCCTTGTTTTTGCCTCTTGTCTAGCATTAATGTGGCTTTCTTTTTCGGTTCTTTCTTGAGGATAATGCATTTAACTTAATACTAGAATGGCCTTAATTTAGTCATTTGGATTGCTTTGTCCCCCCTGGTGAAGCTTATTGGGGTTGCTTTTTTGTTTTTTTTCCTCTTTACATTGTGAATCTGTTGTAGAGTGTTTGGTTATACAACATGTGAGGCAAAAACAACTTAAATTAGCTGAAAAAACTGACAATTACGAAGTTGAGGAGGAAATGCTTTTAACTTATGGTTTGTAATTGTTAACTTTCTGCTTGAAAAAAGCTGCACCAAGCAGGTTTGTTGTCTGTTTGGACCGATTGTTATTTTGTTGATTTGAGTAGCATGGGGTTAGAATTTGTCCATAACTTCATTTACTATGTGCTTCCAATATTTTGGTTTTCCAAATGTTTATCATTGATTTTCTTTTGACCTTTGGAGCTGAATCAAATTTAGGAAAGCCATATTCAATCACCAATATTCTGTCATTTGTCCAGCCGTTCAAGCAATGAAAACCATTTTTTCCTCTAATGATGAACTAAGGATATCCTAATTATATATTGGGGTGATAGTAGGGACTTTTTGGCTTTACATTCACAGAAATAACAATTTCGATCAGATAATGTGGGGTTTTCGAGAAATGGTTACTCGAAGAGTGGTTTGAGACATGAAGCAATGCCCTTTCTGATAGGATATGCTGTTGTAAGTTTTAGATAAGGGTGACTGAACTTACCTAAGGTTGATAAGTTGGACCTCTACTTATTCTGCTGTTGACGTAAGAAATTTTGTTTATACTAGCTCCCTTTTTTTGGTTGATTCTCCTCTCTCCTCTCTTCTGCTATTGATGTAAGAAATTTTGTTTATACTAGCTCCCTTTTTTGGGTTGATTCTCCTCTCTCCTCTCTCATCTCTCTTTGATTTTGATTTTCATTAAGGTGTTAGGAACTCTCGCAAAATATATGCACTGGCTCAGCTGTTCCTTTTTTTCATGACTGGTCAATAATTAATCAATTCTGTGATATGAATTGATTTGTGCAGTGATATAATAACGTTGTTCTGTGATATGAATTGATTTGTGCAGTGATGGTTGGTGGATCAGATACCTTATCCTGTGCTCAATGTGGCAAACCTGCCCATCTTCAGTATGATATTATATTTATGTATTCTCTTCGATTTTATTCTCAACCATACATTATACATCACATACACACACAAGCACAGTTCAATGTATACTTGGATTGGGATGTTTTTTTATCAATAAACAATTAGGTCATTTATCAACTTCAACAAGCAATTAACGGTGGTATGGATTTGATCATTGATCAACTTCTATGACTTTGTGGTCCTAAAATTATCACTTGCAAATGTAAATCACCTATATTTTACGAACATTGAGAGACATGTTCCACTTTATCAGCATTTAAAGTTTCACCATTAGTGTTTAGTCCCCGCATCTTGAGCCAGTAATGTGCTTCTCCGAGACAAAAAGACTGAGGAGATTATTGTGTTACTAGTTGTGAGGTTGTGATTTAATCCGATTTATAAATCCTAACAAAAACATGAATGTTATTTTCCATCGCACTGACCTCATTGCCAGGTGAATAGTAGATGCTGCAGCTAGAAGTCGAAACTATCCCACTCTGAAGCTTAAACTGTGAGTATCTTGATCAATGAAGTGCCAAACAGGTAATTTGAAATTTTTAATTTCCAAACCACGCAAACAAATTATGTTGCATTTTTATTTGCATCTTTTGATATCTATATATAGTGATTTTATTTTTTATTTTATCTTGTCTCTGTAGTGAATAATTAAGGCTTAATGGGTACTACTAGTTCTAGTCTAAATTTTCTCCATGAATTTTCATTAATAGTTTAACTGTGTGGATCTTTCCTTTGCTCAGTAGCTCTTTTTTCCAATTATCCAAGGTCATTGAAGCTTTTGTTCACTTCACCAATCAATCAACAATCCCATAAGCTTTTAATAACTGTATAAGAAGCTGAGACCATTGGTTATGAAAGTTCGTTAAATATTCATTGCTTTTACGAAATTTAGCAACAGTTAGAAACAAAGTAAATGGAGAAATATAGCCAGAGAAATGTCATCTTTCATTTCATTGGAGCTAAGAAAAAATGTAAACTTTTTATCCATTCATGACCCAAAAAAAAAAAAATTTGTTTCCTGTTTTGTTGCCTTTCTCTGGCTTCTCTGATGGATTTTTTTCTTTCAGTTGGGAGCAACTGCTGTCAATTTGATTGCTGGAGAAAAACCTGCTGATGTTTACTCAGGAATAGCTGCTAGGTAAGTAGCTTTTTCACAATGCAATAGTTATGAGCATTATCAATTTCTCTTTTCTACATGGATTCTTTCCAAACCCCTTCCTTTTGCAAGCTTCTCTTTATTGGTAATTCTGTGCCTGATTGGCCCAGTTCTTATGCAGGCAGTTTCTAGAAGAGCCACCTTTCATGAAACAATTAGAGACTATGAACAAGCAGCCAGTGACCTTCATAGACTGATCTCTCTTCTTGAAAAGCAATCACAAGAAAAGGTTCAACAGTGTGGCTCTGGCGGCAATGTTAAAGAATTAAGACAAGCTCGTCGTCACGTATCCTCAGTGGAAGAAAAGGCTAAAAATGGAATCTCCTTGGATCATTACCTCATTTTGTAAGTCCTCTGCATTTGTGTTTCCTTATGATATATTTTATTTCCATGGACTTGGATTTCTGTTATGGAACTTGATTTATTACATAGATTTTGATTGCATATTGATATTTCGTATTTTATTTTTATTTTTGTAGTTTACGTTAAGTTGTGACTGATCTATCTACATTTTTCATATTTGATTTTCACACACTTTTTGATGAATTTTAGCATTTTGGAATCTAGCTTGAAAAGTTCCTTATTCTGCCCCATTATTTAAGTTTATCTTTTATTCATTTTCAGATCATATTTTAATGCGTGTTAATTGCAAATGATGTTTGGTGTTGGAAAGATGTTACAAACAAAATATATAAGCACATGTTGCATAATCAACCATTTCTTTGTAAGTTTTTTATTGAAATAAAAAAGAAATCTAGTAATTAACTCATGTTTTTCGGCTTGAGTGTCAGGTGTACAAATTTAATTCTAGCTGGACCAGCAGCATGGGATGGTCCTAAATCTTTTTTTTTTTTCTAATTCCTATAGTCAGTTATCTGCATATGATGACAGTTTCTTTTTGTACAATATATATCATGAAACAGGCCCCTGTACTTTTCAAAAGGATTGGCCATTCATTAAATTCTGCCAATAACTTGGTAAGGTTAAAGGTCTTTTTGTTTGTCTTTTGCTTTATCTAGTTTTATGTCCTAGTTAGAAGCATGCACATAGAGTGACTCAAAGTGTTCGGTGGATTTGTGTTGAGGAATTCACTTTTGTGACATCTTATGTAATTTGTAGGCTATGAAAGTTCTTGGAGCCTCTCCTTCTGCATATTCTGCTAATCCAAAATCCAAGTTGTCAAATCCTCCATCCCTTACCGGATCTGCTATATCATTGGTTTCAGTTGTGCAAGTCATTTTTTGTTGTTTTTTTTCTTTCTGCCTTGGAGTTTGTTTAAGCGATCTCTGTAATGCTTTTTGCCTATATCTGCTGATCAAAAAATGCTATATGCCTATATCTTAACATTTTTAGTTAATTTCTTGTGAAATATTTCTGGAAAAAAAATTCTTATTGGCAGGGATGTCTGAACTTCATATTCTTTAACATTTGTTTTGGGTGCTTTGACCATCTAATATTTATTTGCCCATAACTGAAATAAGTAATTCATGAATGGTTTGCATTTGCATTAATCATTTCCTGCACCAATTTCTTTTTTATGTGGTTTCACTTTGGAACTTTAACTATAGTTGACAAAGGTCGAAGTCTTTTTTATTTTTTATTTTTCTTTCACTATTGTAAATAAATAAATGCTTACTTTTTGGTTGAGATCTACCAAACTTATAGTTAAATCATATTTGTTGACAACGGTCCAAGTCTTTGTTTAGATATTTTAAGTGGATAAATGCTAACTTTTTGTATTGAGATCTACCAAATTTGAATCATATTTGTTAAAAATTCTTATATGGTGCAGGCTAGAAATAATGCACGGATTATGATCGCTGGCTCTTTAGATATGTTCAGTAATGGGTTTGTATCGTTGTGCACTTAATCTGAACTTTGGAAGTTTCTCAGGATATTTGATCTCATTATTTAACGTTTGTCCTTTATGTGATTCAGATTGTTCAAATCAGGTGTGCAGAAGGCTGGGAGCTCAAATAAGTGAGTAATCCTCTGGTCAATCTTCATTCAGTACTTCTACATGCCAGCTTATTATCCAACTTGTTCTCTGACTTACAATCTAATGGTCCACATTTGTCTGTGTACATCCAAAACATGCATAAAAATGAATAGATGAGACAAAAGTTAAATGCATTAAAGAAGCGTTGAACAGTACCACTCATGAATGTGCTTGTGTCTGTGTGCAAGAGAGAGAGAGAGAGATAGAGAGATAGATCAGATGTGGTGCCCTGTACCGCCATAGTTTTTGAACACTTAAAAGTGGATTTTCCATTACAAATTCATCTGTACTTGGTGATCTTTCCTTTGTATTCTTCTACTGTAGTATTGTTCCTTTTGGTTGGTCAATTGCCATACATCTAGAGTGGGCCATTCATCCTGTATTTTAATTGGTATTTGAATAACTTAAAAAGTAGAAGAAACTTATCTTAAGTGGTGGTTCCATCAAAGTGTACAAAGTACCCAACCTTGAGCCTTTAGGCACAACCTCAAAGAGTGGCTGTTCTTATACTTGAACCACATTCTGCTGCCAGATGCTTGATTCCTTAACCTTTACTATTGTATCAAGCCCTTTACCCTCAAGATGTGGACACTCCAAAATTAGGTCTAAAGTGATTGTGCCATTGTTACATTGAGGTGTGGAAGTGGAAGAGTTATGTGTGGCCTACTAGATACCTATATTATATAATTTTCTTTGTTCCTTGGGAAATGACCTAAAATCAATGGTTATTACTACATTAGAGTTAGCAAATATTCTGCTAAAATTACAAGGTTCTTCCCTACTCTTTCAATGTCCAGTTGTAATATCACATTTTGTCGTTTTAAATTTCTCGCCTGATCTCTTTTCCATTCCTACAGGAACTGAAGTTGAATAAATCCTTTCAAGAGGAGCTGAACTTATCAAAAGTGGACAAGGACAAAGTGAGTTCTGAATTGGGCTCCTTTCTATTGGAATTGATGGCTATTTTGGCCTTTTGACATTATTTATGTAAACTTGACCATAAATTACTTTTACTCATTTATCTTGAAATTCACCAATTATTTCTCAAATAGTTGTTACCTTTCTCTGTTGCAGCGAAAAATAAAGATCATAATCTAACTATATTTTCAAGGATCTAATATATTCTCATTTTTTTGAACTTACTATTGACTATAATATCTTGATTGCTATTTTCTTTACAAAGACAAGTTGAAACTAATAGCTAAACTGAAATGTGGATGAAAGTGGTGAAGGGTTTAAGTCAAGTTTTATTGCTTAACAAAACATTACTTGAGGTGCTGTGTGCATGCACAGGATTTTGTACTCTGGTAGAATCTGTAGCATAGTGCTGGGAATTTAGGGTGTGGGTCTTCATGAAACATGAATATCTGGTAGTGTTCATGACATGAATTGTACTCTCCGTTAACATCATATGTATGTTGTGTGTATATGATACACCCATGTACTGTGTACATCATTAAATATAACCTCTGTGTAGAGTTCTATGATTTTAAAACTGTTCTTAAGAATTTGGATCTGGCATGAACATAATAATTTTGCTTTGTGTGTTTTCAAACTTGGAGATAATTACACCCCTCCAACAAATGTGGTTCCAGATATCATGCCATTTAACCGCCAGTGGATTCTCTCCGTGTTGAACAAGGCCATATCAAAAACTGTGACATCACTGGACTCGTATGAATTTTCTGATGCTGCTACTGCAGTATATTCATGGTGGCAGTTCCAGTTGTGTGATGTGTTTATTGAAGCCGTCAAGCCCTAATAATTTATTGGTGATATAATATTCCCAACTTTTCATCTAGAGCCAAACACACTCCTATGTTAAACTCCATTTAGGATATCTAAACCCAACTCCAAACTTGATGGTAGGTGTAACCAAACACCCCATTTCAACAAAAAAAAAAATTAGAAGTGCAGATTTTTTTTCTTCATTCTTCATTCTCTAACTTCTCTCTACTTTCTCTCTCATTTTCCTTTACTTTCTTGGAGGCCAAACACCACACCTTTGCTCCACCCTTACACCACCACCTTAACCCACCATCTCCACCACCTCCGGCCACCTTATCTCGCCGGAAAATGGGTCCGGTCGGCACTCCTTGAATCCATCCGAAAATAACACAATAGAAGCACAAACTCTAGATTTTTCTTAATCTTTTGAAGAATCAAAGCATGGGATTTATTTTCTTGATGGATTAGAGGCTTGTACTTGGTAAGAATCTTTCTCTAAAAGTTTAGTTGAAGGTTTTACATATTTTGAGTTAGAGATGATGAAATTTTTGTGTTTTAGATCTATTATGATTTGGGGTTTGCTTGTTGAATTTTATACTCTCAATTAGTTTCCATGAATGTTTTACATGTTTAAAAAAAAAATGGTCAATTTGATGGTTGATTTGGAGATTTAGATTTTTGGGTTAATCTAGGGTTTGAATGTGATGTAAAAATTGGGGATTTTGGTGTTAGGGAATTTATATGTTGAAATTGAGTTGATAAATGATGGATTGGGTATCTCTATGTTCTATGGAGGAATTTTATAAGTGATTGAAGAGATTTTACTTAAGTTGTTGAGTTTATACAAAAATGTTGATTTTTGACTTTTGTAGTAAATTGATGGTGGTATTGTGCATATAAATTGATTGGATATTTAAAAAGTTACTAACTCAAAGATGTTCAAAGGATGGGTGTTATGGAGATTGGATAAGTTATTTGTTTGGGTGATTTAAAGTTGGAGGAGTTCTTTAGCTTGCCATTCCTTAGCATAATTTTATTTAGGATCATTTTTGTAGATGTTGTAATTTTCATTGAAAGCTTTTCCTAATTTGAGATCCTATTTACTAATTGTTAGGATTGGAGGAAGGCATCTCTCCACCTCTTGGAAATTAATTTGTAGAGTTTCAAATCTACACTTTTGCTATTTTTGGAGGTGAGTATACTTACCATGGAAATTACCTTACCTCTATCTTTATTACAAAGTTTGAAAATAATTTTTGAATTAAAGGAAGTGAATGATACATTTCATCATGATATATGTATAAAAAGAAAATCTATAAATTTATTGAGGCCAAGGGTTGAGTTTTAATAAAGATACGATTTCATTTGTATAATGAAGCATTAAATTTTTTATGAGAATTTATTTAAGTTGAGTCTTTCAAATTTTATGATGATGATTGAATGACAGTGAAATGTTATGTGAGGGTATTTATTTTATTGATCATATAACCGAATATAGCCTTTGGGGCCACAAGCTAGATATGTCGAGTTTTGATGTCATTTTAGGCATGGACTGGTTGTGTTCTTATCAAGTTGTGATTGATTGTTACCGTCAGAGAGTTACGGTGTGCACTTCGGGTGATGATCGTTTCTATTTTTTAGGAAACCGAGTTGATAGAGCCTTGTCGCCAGTTGTTGACCCTCGTAGTAGGAGCAAGCTTAGTGGCCTTCTTGTAACTCTCTTGGATAGTGAGAGTGATGGGACTCGTGTTGAGTTACCAAGGGTAGTTTGTGAATACCCGGATGTCTTTCCAGAAGATCTTACTAGTTTACCACCTCACCGGGAGATCGAGTTCTCCATTGAATTAGTGTCTAGCATAACACCGATTTCCATGTCACTGTATAGATTTGCACCCGTCGAATTGCATGAGTTGAAGATTCAACTCCAAGAACTTTTAGACAAGGGCTTCATTCGCCCCAGTACATCGCCTTGGGAAGCGTCGGCTCTCTTTGCGAAGAAGAATGATGGGTCATTGCGATTGTGTATTAATTCCCGCAAGTTGAATAGAGTTATAGTTAAGAACAAGTATCCTATACCCAGAATAAATGATTTGTTTAACCAACTTAGAGGGTCTCGTTGCTTCTCAAAAATAGATTTGAGGTCGGGGTACAATCAGTTGAGAGTCCAGGAGGAGGACATTCAGAAGACGGCCTTTCGTACTTGTTATGGCCACTATGAATTCCTTGTAATGCCTTTTGGGTTGACCAATGCACCAGCTTCCTTTATAGATTTGATGAACAGAATTTTTCGGGAATACTTGGACCGTTTTGTGGTCGTCTTTGTGGACGACATCTTGATTTATTCAACCTCTGAAGAGGAACACGAGACTCACTTGCGGGTAATGCTTGGTTTACTTAGTGAGCACCAATTGTATGCCAAATTTGAAAAATGTGAGTTTTGGTTAACAGAGGTGAAGTTTTTGAGGAATGTAGTGTCTAGAGAGGGAGTGACTGTGGACTCCTCAAAGATAGATGCCGTATAGGATTGGGAACAACCCAAAAATATTTTTGAAATCTAGAGTTTCTTGGGAATAGCGGGGTATTATTGACATTTTGTAACGGACTTTTCTAGACTAGCTGGACCTTTGACTAGGTTGACTAGAAAGGGTATCAAATTTGTGTGGAGTGAGGCTTGTGAAAAGTCATTCTAAGAGCTTAAGACTAGATTGACTACCGCACCGATTTTGATCATTCTGAAAAGGGGTTTTAATTATACTGTTTATTTTGATGCGTCCGGGGATGGACTTGGTTGTGTCTTGATGCAAGAGGAAAAAGTTGTGGCCTACGGATCACGACAATTGAAAACTCATGAGAAAAATTACCCCACCCATGATTTAGAATTAGCGGCGGTGATTTTTGCCTTGAAAATTTGGAGGCATTACTTGTATGGTGAGAAATTTGAGATTTTCTTCGATCATATGAGTCTGAAGTATTTATTTTCTCGAAAAGACTTGAATTTACGATAATGGAGCTGGATGGAATTTATGGAGGATTATAACTTTGAGTTACACTATCATCCGGGGAAAGCCAATGTGGTAGCCGATGCTTTGAGTCGAAAATCTGAGTAGTTTCGCAAGTGTGGCCATTCGGGAATGGTATGCTAGATGTTATTGGCAAGTTTGATTTGCACTTGGGTGAGTCCGGAGAGTGTGCTACCTTGTTTACTTTGAATGCTCAACCTACCTTGGTTAGTAAGGTCATAGAGGCACAACAAGGAGACCGTGATGTGGAATCAATCTGTGTTAAGATTTCCATTGGGAATGAAGAGAAAGGTTTGAACGTTCACTCGAATCTGAGTGTACGTTACCTAGATTGTTTGTTTGTACAAGAATCTTGTAGAGATGAAGTACTTCGAGAGTTCCATCACTTACGCCTTGCGGTACACCCGGGAGGCACTAAAATGTATCATGATCTTAGTCGTCAGTTTTGGTGGAGGGGTATGAAACGAGATGTCGCTTTATTTGTATCGAAGTGTTTTACTTGTCAATAAGTGAAGGTCGAACACCAAAGACCAGCGAGTATGTTACAACCCTTACCGATAGCCGAGTGGAAATGGGAGCGTGTTACCATGGATTTTGTAGTTGGGCTTCCTAGAACACAATGAGGCAATGATGCCGTTTGGGTGATTGTTGATAGGTTGACTAAGTCTATATATTTCATTCCAATGTGCACCTAG